CATACACATATAGAAAACGTCAAAGATATATGCTTATATAATAAAACACAAGTTCACATGTGTTCACATATGTAAGAGAAGTATCTTGGAACTTATTACCTTCTAAAGTGACTGTACATAAATTTAATAATGCATTTGGAATGATAGGTTCTACTTGGGATTGAATGGCTCCTCTAATTATGTGGATTAAAAAAATAGCCAAATAAGAAATATTTTAATTCAAATGTTTTAAAGGAAATTAGAAAAGTATTTATTTAGTGACACACTTAAATACTGCTTTAAAATTTATTTTTCATACATAACCTTTTTGAGTTCCATATCCAGTAGAATGCCATCCTTTCATCAGAGAGGAAAACATGACCCACAGGGGTTAAAGCATGGGTTTGATATCAAAAACTGCTTTCATAAAACCAGCCCAAATAGTAATTGAGTAAAGTAATATCTATTTTTAAAGAAATTTCAGTGAGGCATTCAACATAACCAAAAAGAGAATTTTATCCCAGTAAAAACAATCAAAAATATCTGCCCTTTAAGCTCTGGTTTTTATATACAACTTTTAGAAATAGGGACTAAAAATGATGTTTATACCACATGCCTGTAAAATGGTACTTGATGACACCAAGTGTTTTAATTATCAAAGTGTATCCTGTTGAAAGTTCCCCACCAACATTATTTGTGAATAGTTGCAAAGCATTCGAATACATTGGGAAAGGATCAGGAATTTCTTTTGTTATGCGTGGTTCATTCTTGTCCTAATTTATGCTATTGGAACTGGTTTCTAAAGTCAAAGCAAAGAATTACATGGACTTCCCAGTTTTAGAACTGAGAATTCTTTCCATTTTAAATAGGTACCAAGTTATCTACCTAGAGCATCTGGGCATATCATGCAGAATTCCTCCTTCTGAATCTTGCCATGTTGATTCTTTATCATGAATATAGTTCAGAATCTTTTAAAATAGTTGTGCTACGTTAACATGCTTCCCGACATTTACCACATTCTGTATAAAATGTGTCCAGTTAGGAAAAAATACATGCATTTTGCTATACATTTCATTGAAGTCATCTGTGTAACTACTTAATTATTTTGAGGCTTTTTTTTTTAACGTACTACCTACAATCTAAAATCCTAGATCTATTATATCTCCAAAAGTCTATTTAACTTAAAATCTTCTAGCAATTATTTAAAAATTGCACAAATAAATGTTCTTTTAATTCTTTCAAAATCTCTAGGAAAGAAAATTATGTACTTCTGCAATATGTTACAGTTTGATGTCTTCTACTCACGGGTAATAATGGTATGAGGAGAAAGGGAAAATTTAAAATGATTAATAGGATCATTATTATACATTTTAAAATGCTAAATATTAATTTTACCAAAAACTATGTGTGCTACAATTTCAGAAAATATGAATGTTGTGATAGAAAATGAAGACTATAATGAATCTTTTAAAATAATTTTAAAGTTCTTCAATGCACCAATACTTAATTTAAGGATTTATTTGTTTTTCTTTCCAAAATAAATTAATTAGAAGTAAAAATAAAAGTGCTTTAAATTTAAAGTTCATATATAAACCAAGGCTGTAACTGAACATTTAACAGGCAGCTCCAATATAATGTATCCCTAAACAGAATCCATTTCCCCCACTCCTACTAAAAATGATCCACTTGCATGTATCCCCTGCATCAAAATATAAGTTTTGGGAGAAAAGAGACATCATCTGTTTTATCTATCACTTATTTTCAATTCCAAAATCAAAATCAGTGCTGGATGCATAGTAGTCATTAAATAAATATCTTTTCTTTCATTAAATAATAATAGAACATTAAACAATGACTCAAAGTGAGAGGCATTGGGTGTCAAACTATGATTTCCTGATCCCTTTACACTCTTCAATATAATTGAGCACCTCAAGTCTTTGTTTATGTAGGTTATATGTATAAATATTTTCATAATATAAATTAAAATTTTTTAATATTGTTACCATCTAGGTGTGCTGGGTTTGTTGTCTGCATTCAGCAAAGAACTGAAGAACAGGACACAGAGATAGAAAGCAAGAAGTAGATTTATTGCAAAAGCAACAGAGAGAGACTTATCCAGAGAGAAGGAGCCCCAGAGCTGGGAATCTGGTGGGAGAATTTTGGCGTATTGTTTTTATGGTCTCTGGACTTTCTTCCATTCCTTACCTCCTCCCCTGTCCACTGTGCTCCTCACTGTTATTGATTGGTGCCCCCTCTGTCCATGCATCTGCTTAGTTTTTCAAATGGATCCCTCACTTAGAAGCACCAGCATGGAATTATCCGATTGGGTCTCCACTTACGTCCATGAGCACTTTTGTCAAGTGGGAAGTTGACCTCATTTGAAGAACCTCTCCATACTCCTTTGGTTTGGCCCGGCCCCTGACCTCCTCACTGGACATCTTTCCCTGGCAGCCTAAGGCCTTCTACATCTTCCTCAATATCTCTTAGTGAATTTCATAACAGAGTAAGAAAACATTTTGATTAATTTTTTTTTTTTAAACTCTACAACTGGGCATAGTGGCACATGCCTTAATCCAGGTGGCTCTGGAGGCTGAGGCAGGAGGATTGCAAGTTCAAAGCCAGCCTCATCAATTTGGCCAGGCCATAAGTAACTTAGCAACACTGTCTCAAAATTTTTAAAAAGTATTTAAAAAAAAAAGTGGGGGTAGAATGTGCCTCAGTAGTTCAGCACCCCTGTGTTCAATCCCTGATTTAAAAAAAAAAATTCTACATTTTCTAAGACAAAAAGGTAATGAGAAGAGTGGCATCATATTACATTTGTAAAATCCTCTGTAATGCTGTTTAAAGTAAGACAGCACAGCTGGACTTCCATATCTAATTCTACAGTCAATTCATGTTATGGGACAGAGAGAAATGCTTTTATAGCCTTTTAAAATAATTGTGAGAATTTTTCTTTGATCTTACACCAAAACCCAACAATTTCTAGTTAAAGGTTTGTTATAACGTAGAATCCAAATGGAAGTCCACATTTCACACAATAATATCCATGTGAATGTCTGTTGGTTTTGGGTGTACCTAAGTGGAACTGACACCCCCAAAATTTTGTAATATCACATATTAGTAACATGTACATTATTAGCCCACTGAACAAAGCATTTCTTCCAAATTTTGACACATTGGTTATATGATATGATTTTAGAGGTACATTTGATAATATCTTCATAAAACTCATCAAAAAGCTGAAAATTCTAATTTCTATGAAAGACTGAATTTTGTCATTAGCAACATGGAGTCAACATGGAATCAAATGTGTTCCTTTCAGAGTTAGCTCATTGTATTCATGACAGAAGAAATGCATCCCAAATTTACAAGTCCAATGTGCAATGTATTTATTTGGTTCTTTCGTGTAAAGCGGTGTTTGTAGCATTCTTTAGTTCATCTTTGCATCATAAGTATGCATTATACATTTGGTAGACAGCAGAATCACATCACACCTATTCCCTAGGTTGTCACTCAGAGCATGAAACAATTTTTAATATAGTGAAGATTTAATCAAACTTATCATTTCTATTGCTTCTATAAGGATATTCTTAAGTGAACCTGCCTTTCATTTTTACAACCTTACTGGTACTACTTTGTTTATGCTAAATTACCAGAAGTTTCTCTCATGATGGATTTTGTCCTATCCACAAAAGTCAACCCAGTGAATACGGCAGGTGATATCTTACTTTTTTTAATTAAAACAATAGTTTGGCTTCATGAATCCTTAAAGGAATACAACAGTCTGAGAAGTGCTGAGAACCACTGGCATAGAGAATAATTTTATTTAATATTATTATTTTCATATGATTCTAACATTTTGGATTTATGTGAAAGTAGATACATTATTTCATCCCAATATTTTTATTATTCATTAAAAACATGCTTATGATTTTAAGATACACCATCCAATTTGAACTCTATGAGACACACATTATATCAGTCTATGATAGTTTCTATAATGTAGTAATATCTTATGAAAAGGACACTTAGTGTAGGTACCATTTATCCAAAAGTTAGACTCCATCCTAATCAAAGACAGGGATATAATTAAAATTCAAATCAGCAGTTAACAGAAAGTTATTCTTGACAATTCAGTAGAAAGACTTGAAGCTGCCCAGTACAGTTTCAAAGCCAGCAGAGTGAATTATGTGTAACCTAACACTAGTGGATTAAGAGTCTCATACATATGATTGTCCATGGCAACATGAAAATCACTACATTTAATTTTTTTACAAATAGCAACATAAAACAGCCTTTTAAAAACTTTAGTCATCTACAGTTAAGTTTTCCTCCTAAAAATGTCAAGCATGATACTATTACAGTAGAGCATGGGACAAAAGATGGAGCCCAATGTCTTGGGGTCAAATCCCACCAAGGGCCACCTTTCAGAGTGACAGCATCTATAAAATGGGATAGTAATAGTATTTCCTGCATAGTGTTAGCAGTTATTATTATTATTACTATTGCTTGCAGCAAAATAATGTTTTTGAAAGACAAATTAATTAATGCATGTGAAGTTCTCAGACCAATGCCAGGGTGGAAGTAATAAATGTCTTTATTTCATTTTTTAAAAAGTGAAAAGACTAAAAATATTACTAAGTATCTCCTGTTTACTTTTTTAGGTCCTCTCAGCCTTAAATTGCCTGAATTATTTTATAACTTAAAATTATATAAAACTAGTAGTAATGCAAAATGTTCCTGAGAGGTAGAAAACTGACTATTGCCCTTTGGATATTGACTAATTTTATAAATATGCATAAATGGACTTCAGCCTCCCTGTCTACTTGTCTGTTCATTGAAATGTCTTCTTGATTCCCTAATTGACACCTTGCAAAATATTTGAGAAGAGTTCATTTTTTATTTGTATGATTGATGTGATTTGAATGTTTTAAAATTGTATTTTAGCACATTTCTATTACAGAAATATGATATTAATTAAAGAGGAAAACACACTATGTGGCAAATTAATCTACCTTTGGAAGATGGTGGGACCAGGTGGTGTGGCTTATTGGCGACAGCCCTGGAAGTCCTCAGAGATCAACATGTTAATAAAACTGAGTTTTCAAATCAGAAGTAATGGGGCTATTTTTTCACCACTGAAAAAAGATAAAGAAGAAAATACATTATTTTTTAAATCAACTATGGCTAAATATTTTAGCTTAGTTATCCAGAATATTTACTTCCATAGAGTATCTCATTTCCTGACGAAACTACATATATAAAATGTTTTCTGCAAAATATCTAAAAAATATTTCTCTCCTCCTGCTCTGTCACAGTAATTTAAGTTGATTCCCTGAGCGTTCTGTCTCAGGTTATAATTCTGGAACTGGAAGCAATAAGTCCTCAGTTGTTTCCCTCCCACTCTTTTTCTACAGTTGGCCTAAAAACTCACAGAACTACCATATTGAGTTTTTACTCCATTGTAAGATGAAATCTCATTTTGCATTTAAAAAATGATGCTTCATTTCATACACAATTTAAAACCAAATTATTAAGAATGCTTAAATATTTTTGCTTTTGAGAGATATCTTTTATTGTTCCTTTTTAATATTGACCTATATTTTAAAATAGTAGCATGATAAAACTAGGAATTTAAAGTTCAGCAATTTGTGGGTTGTCATGATTTAGGCAGAGAGGGACTAAATCCACATTACCTTTATGTAGATATTCACTTCGGAAAACGGCATATGGACTATGCTTAGCATGAAACAGTTCAAAATGTCATGTCCATTTACACATGACCCTTGTGATAACAACAGTTTACTTATTTACGATAGCTACTTGAAAGTTTAAGATAGTCGGAAGTCCCAGTATATACTAAATGTAAAATCAAAATAGTCTTTCTCATAAGCAAATAAAACTATGTGTGTTCCCATGAATGTATAGAATAGAAATAAATTTTCAATCCTAAAGTATCTGAATAATACGTAATTTGTGCAAATCCACTGAACACATCAAATTTTCTTTTTTATAGCAAAGTTAGCATATATTTTGTTTTTTGGTTACTGTTTTATTCCAAGAAGCTCTTCAATTATGCCTTCCTATCAACATGGTAGAATCAGGCTGCAAATTTAAGTGGGGAGTTTTGTCAACCACATTTCTCCAATAGCATAAAACAGGAATCAGTAATATAGATTTGTACCTTCATGCCAAATTCCTGACATGCAACTGTATAAAGAAGTACAAGTAAAACCTTTTGGAAAACTCCTGTTTAACATTCATAACATTTAGCATTTCCCAAATGACCAGTATCTTCATACATTATTATATAAAGTAGATTAGCTCAATATATTCAAATCTTCTCTCATCTTGGATCACTTGGACTAGTCAAAAGACTACGAATTAAGCAAACTCAGTAACATCTATTTAGTACCAAAACAAACAAACAAACAAATACACCAAAAAATACAACAATAAGGATGCAGAGAGGAGAGAACAAGAAAGGAATCCTTATTTATAAAACACTAACAAAATAATGTGGGCCTTTTATTGAATTATAAAACCCTCCCCCAAACAAAAGCTTGGTTTGGATCACACTCTAATCTAATCATAAATTATGCAGGCTTGTTGCCAGTTAAATGTCCATTTCCATGTGTGGATCTTACAGGGAAGAGTGACCTGTTTGAAGAAACAGGCAGAGGAGGGTAGCTATAGGCAGCATGAGGCAGAAAGAACCCCATAAAATCCTGAGATGGAAATTCAAGGTCAAGAAGAGAAGCCTGTGCTGTTTCCACAAGCTCACTCATGTGGTTTTGGGTACTTGAACACTTCTTAATTCATATCATCTTTTCTTTGATAATCCTTTAACTACTGGATTTATTTAAATTTGACGAGCTTTGGTGAATTATTTTATAAGTAAGCAAAATGATGTCCCCTTCTTTTCCACTTTACACAAATAACATTTAGAACCTTTAAGAAGGAAAGAGTTGTCTTTTAAAATGTAAATTAAAATTATTCCAAGACTAGGAACAATAGGGGGGTCCTATGTTTATTACTTTCAGTAATAACTTTGTACTATATTTTAAACCAAAACACATCTCCTATGCCTTAGGTACCTCAAGGAGGAAATATCATTTTCCCTGAATTCTCTGGTTTCTGATGAGCACAAAATGCATAATTTGGTTAAATGTAAATCTAACAATTTTATTTTAAAAAGTATGATTTATTTATAAGATTTATACCTTCATGCCAAATTCCTGGCATTCAACTATATAAGGAAAAGTACAAGTAAAACGTTCTGAAAAACTCTTTTTTGACCTGCGTAACATTCAGCATTTCAAAAGTAATATTATTGGGGCTGGGATTGTGGCTCAGCAGTAGAGTGTTCACCTAGCATGTGCGAGGCCCTCAGCTCAATTCTTAGCACCATATAAAAATGAATAAAATAAAGGCATTGTGTCCAACTACAACTAAAAAACAAGTATTTTTTAAAAAGTAATATTATGCTTGATTCTTATATGAAATTTGTATTTCATTAACCGTATTCCTTATGATTCTGTTGAAAATAGGAAAATGATCAGTGAGTAAAATGAGATCTTCTACAATGTTTTGAGGTTTGATTACACTAAGCCCCTCTCAGGAAAGTTTTCATTAATGCTGTAAATTCTGTGTGACTTCCTTTAAGCCAACTGCTATTGCTATGGCGGTAAGAAATACAAATAGCAGTAAGCAGGTTTTTTAAAATGTGATGTTAACTTTGGCAAGTTGCCTTTGACTTTTCCTGATCATGTCCCAGAAGCAGAAATCTCACTCTGCCCCAGTAAAATGTTTTATTCATGAATTCAAAGATGGGAAGATCAAAAGGGGCTATAATTCAATACAATATGTTTAAGTGGACAGGAAAGATATTCTTTTATTCAAATAACACAAACATTGAATCCAGAAAAGCTGTAGCACTTCCTTCTTAGGGAAGGGTACAATTTGGCTTTATAAATTGTTTTGAAATTGTCTTCACCAATTTATTAATAGATCCAAAAATCAATCTAAAAATGAAGTAATTAGCCCAGCCTTTTGTCTAAAAAGGTAAAAAGGGGTATTTGATTAACTACAGCCAATGAACATAAAGAACCATCTTATGGGATTTTGTTTCGCTGAACATCTTGGGCAGGGTTGGTGAGATGCCACTTCTCAAGCTCTGTGAACTGAGAGAAGAAAGACTTTTCATTCACACAGTGCCAAAATTCCAACCAGCTTGCTTATCAAAGGCCAGGGGGACTATCTTCCTGAGCACCTCTTGGGTACCAAAGAAAAGAGATGGTAAGTTTTCTAGGAAAGTACCTGCATCACTGGTGTTTTGGCAAGACTGGGCCCAATCATAGGGTATTTCCTTGCTCACAAATGAAGTTTTTGTTTTGGTGGTATACATCAATGCCTGGTCATATGATGAGAAAGCATTTTATAGTTCTAGATATAGTTGGACACAATGCCTTTATTTTATTTATTTTATTTGTATATGGTGTGGAGGATCAAACCCCATGCCTCACTTGTGCAAGGCAAGTGCTCTTCCACTGAGCTCCAACCCCAGACCAACACGAATTACAATAAAAATCAAATGACAGAATATGGGAGAGTATAATTCTATTAGAGTGGGACATTCAGGAAACATGGGAATCAAGACAAATATAGGACTCCAAGGAAAATGCGGATGCTCCACAGCAGCCTGCCTGATATTTGGTACATTGGCAGTTCCCAGATGAGTCCCTTAAACATCAACATCTGGCTTTCCAGCCTTAGTGAGTAGGGGCCTCTTTGAGACTCTCAGGGTTCTTAGCCTGCTCTGTGCAACAGTGTCAACTGGACGGTGTTTTTATAAGTCTGTCTCTTTCCTGAACCAATTAAATCTGTGTTCTTAGTGTAGGCCCAACACAGACATTGTTTAAATGTTGCCACAAGAGATTCTAACTATGTCATAGTAAGGCCTGCCAGTTGCCAATTTAGGGAGAAATGAGGGATTTGCAAAGTAGAAAGGGAGATCTAGGATGCATCACATTTAGGGAATGAATATGAAAGTACATCCTTTCTCACTACCTCCTGGCCTGGCCTGCCTTCTAGATTCTGTGTGTGAGTGCCACCTAGATGGTTCTCACTGTGAAATGTTCTGACTGAAGGCAGGATGTGTGCATTATGACTGTGCCTTCTTGTGCTTGTTGTCCTGTTGTCTGCTGATCAAATCCAGGATGTTACAGCATAAATCAACACCCATTTCCCTCTCACAATACAGGCCATTGTCTTACCAAGAGTAAACTTCACCTGAAGAAAGCAGGCTACAGTGGTATAAACCTGGACCCCAAGATCCTAAGTAAGCTTGACTTGGTAGATAGTTCTTTCGAGCTACTGAATCCAGGAAATTGGATTAACTGAATTCTTATCTCTAAGCTTGCTGATCTCATCCTTAGAAATAGGAAGTTGAGTTTCAAGGTGGGTGGTGAGTGACAGGGATGCTGTAATGGTTTGTGCAAGCAAAAGATGAGGACTTCTGGCACGTGTTGCCCTTTAGAGGGTAAATATGTTGAAGAAAGAGGAAAAGACTGAGGAATGGTCCCTGGGTCAATGGATCAGAGTGGCCGAGACAAAAGTGTAACAGGTAATGACTTTATTAAATTATTTGTTTTAAATAACTACAGATTTCCATAAACTAAAAAAAAAACACAGAGAGATCCTAAGTACCCTTTATAATTTCCTTAAAATATAATGTCTTGCAAAACAATATCCTGATCAGGATATTAACATATATTCAATCCGCCTGCATCCTGGGGTGTGTGTGCTTGTGCATTTAGCTCTTCTAGCTTGTCACATCTGTGGATACCTGCATCCCCCAACACCGTCAAAACACAGGACAGTTCTATTACTACAGGATCCTTTGTCCTGCCCCTTCATGACTATACTTAAACTCTCTCCTCTGCAAGTAGACATTCCTAATTCCAGGAAACCACTAATCAAGCTGTTCTCTGTTTCTAAAGTTGTGCAATTTCAAGAATGTTATATTCTAAATTCATCTAAAATAGAACCTTTTGTGAGTGGCTTTTTCCAGGTTTCACAATTCCCTAGAAATTCATCCAAGCCATTGCATGTGTTAATACTTTGCTTCCTGACACTTCTGAGTAGTATTCCATGGCATGTAGGCCCTGCACATTGTTATACCTTTCAGCCATTGAAGGACCTCTAGGAGGACTTCAGATTTACACTGATCTATAGATTTGTGTGAGCAGAGTTTTCACTTATTTGGGATAAATGTTCAGTAATGCAATTGTTGGATTAGACAGTTGCGTGTTCAGTCTTTAAGCAATTCTCACTTTTCAAGAGTGGCTCTAACATTTTATACTTACACCAACAATAATGTACGAGTGACCTGATTTCTCCACATCCTTGTTCCTGTTTCCTGCTGTCACACTTTTTCTTTCTTCTTGGTTTTGCCATTCTGATGGATATATAGTGATATCATGTTGTATTGTTTTGTGAGGCTTTTTGTTTTTGTTTTGTTTTGTTTTGTTTGTACTGGGGATTGAACCCAGGGTGTTTAACCATGAGCCACATCCCCAGCCCTTTTAAAATATTTTATTTAAAGACAGGTTCTCACTGAGTTGCTCAGTACCTCACCAAGTTGCTGAGGACTGAGGCTGGCTTTGAACTTGTGATCCTCCTGCCTTATCCTCCCAAGTTGCTTGGATTACAGTCATGCCTCCACTGCGCCTGGCTCCTGATATAGTTTTAATTTGCATTTCTCTAATGCCTAGGGATGCTGAGCATCTTTTTATGTGCTTATTTCCCATCTATATGTCTTCTTTAGTGATATGATGGTTAGTGACTTTTACCCATTTTCCTAATTGAATGGTTTCCTTTTATAGTTAAATTGCAATATATTTTAGACATTAATCTTTGATCAGATACATTGCTTGTAAACATATTGTGTCCTGTATTTAAACTGTCTTTGTATCTTTTAATAAGAACTTTCATGGGACAAAAGTTTATATTTTTTATTTTGATGAGGTTCAACTTATTTTTTTCTATTTATGAATCATTTATGAATCATCAAGTTTAAGATCTAAATTAGTCCTAAATATGATGATTTTATACTATTTTTCCTAAAAGTTTTACAGTTTTATACTTTATATTTAAGTCAGTGTGATTCCTTTTGAGTTATTTTGGCAGCAGTTGTAAGATTTAGGTAAAGGCCAACATTTCTTCCTATGTAGGTCTGACTTACTACTCCAGTACTAATTATTTATCTCTTTCATTAAATTGGTTTTACATCTTTGTCAAAAATCAGATGAGGGACTGGGGTTGTGCCTCAGTAGTAGAGCTCTTGCCTAGCATGTGTAAGGCACTGGGTTTGATCCTCAACACCACATAAAAAAAATAAATAAGGGGCTGGGGTTAGGGCTCAGTGGTAGAGCACTCGCCTTGCAAGTGCGAGGTCCTGGGTTCGATCTTCAGCATCACATATAAATAAATAAAATAAAGTTAAATAAATAAATAAATAAACAAACAATATAAAGATATAGAAAAATCAGATGAGCTTCTCTGCTTCTAGGTTCTCTATTCTGTTCTACAGAACAGGGACTATGCTCATTCATAAACATGGCCTGAAGAAATATGCTTACCAACTTCACCTCCCATTGGAAACAAGAAATAAATATGAAAATATTAAGGCCATTTGAATACCACTAGCTGATAAAAAATACCCTAGTAATTTTTTTTATTAAATATTCCATCAGCATACAAATGTAACTAGGAAAATATAGCCCATTTCCTCTTTTGATATAAGCTGTATTAGTGCAAAATTAACAAATTGTGTTTCACACTTATATGATAATCACTTCCTACACAGATTCCTGCTCCCATGTAGCCACCAAGACTGTTCACTTCCTCTGTGAATGTTTCTGGGAGTTTATGACTTGTGATGGATCAGAGCATATAATAATCTCTGTTTTTGACCAGTTCTCTCTCATTTATTACAATGCTCAGCTATGTTATATAAGTTCAACAATAAACAACTTATATACTCTTAGAAGAATAACTGAAATGTCTTAAGCCCAGATACAAGTATGTAATAGATAGAGGGAATTATGACACTATGCTTACCATATACTGGGGAGAATCTACTTGCTTCTATCTTTGAAATAACCCTGGGTTCTCACAAATATATAAATTTATTATCATGGCACCTCAAGTCCTCATGTTTTCTTTGACTTTCCATCCTCTCCCTTGGTATCAATCCTGTATATTAAAACAATTTTTGTCCATTTTCCTTTGTCCGTTTCCTTTTTAAATCATTTTGAATTTATGGATCCTGATATGAGTATCTTATAGAAAACTCTACATGCAAAGTTCACAGTCAATATGTCTTTGGTCATATGCTACTCTTCCAAAATCTCACTTAAATTCAAAATTTGTCTTTTTCCGGGACTTGAATAAATCAAGACTGATTTCATGGTAACAGAAACATTCTTTCCTACCATATATTTCCTGCAGCAGATGGATATGTCTCTATATTCTCCGGGTTTCCAGCTCTATTTCCCTTTCTGGTATTCCAATCTCCTTTCAAACAGATCTTAGCAGAGCTTGTAAAGTTCAAATTGCTTCTTCAATTAGATCCCACATCTCTTCTCCACTTGTAAAGCTAAATCTCTATTGGATAAGAGTACCATCTTTCTTTTTCTATTTTTACTGATCAAAAGAAAAAACTTTATTCTCTTAATTCAGGTAATTCAGTTAACATCATTACCTGTGCTTTTGGTATCCCCTTCCCAAAAGCTGAGCAGTCATTCACTCTTCACGTACTGGTCAGTGAGTTTTAGTTGCTGCAACATAAACCACAGTCTCAATGAAACACCACAACGAAATTTCATTGATTGTCCACATTATAATCAGATTTGGGTAACCAACCCCTGTCCAGTTCATATCAGTGCCATAAGGACCTCGTGGCCTTTAGGTGACCACAGCAGGGAAAGAGCTAAAGACTGCATAGGACAGTTCTAAGGGTCAGGCTTAAAACTGATATCTATAACTTCTCCCCATACCCTCTTGGTTAGAAAATAATCTCATCATCTTAATCTAACTTCAAGGGAGTTTGGGATAGATGGATTGATGCATACATATATAAACAACATGCATGATTAACACTAATGGTCTCTGCTACAAATCCTCAGTAGTCCTTACCCTCACAGTTTCTTTTCTCTAGCTCAGAGGAACTAAGATTGGGCACTTAAAATGTGGCCAGTCTAATTTGAGATGTGCTATGCATATACAATACATTCTGAGTTTCAAAAACTTGATAAAAATCATAAAATATCTTGTTAATAATTTTCATATTGACACAAGTTGAAATAATAACATTTTGGACATATGTGGTTGAAGACAATATGCTACTAAAATTAATTCTTTTTTATCTGTTGCTTTGTATCCAGAAAATTTCAAATTAGATATGTGGCTAATACTAAACCTCTATTGAATGACAATGCCCTATAGATAAAGCATTCTAGATCTAAAATTTTCTTGAACTGTGTTTATTTTTTGGTATGGTAATGATTTTTTTATCAAAACTAAAGAAAATGACACACTTTCTTATAGTAAACATCTGCATTCTTATTTACTCTTTCATTAGTGATTTTCTTCTCTTTCTATATATAAATCTACTGCCTGGAATCTTGAAATCTAAAACCAAAATAAGGGCTTATCCAATGTATGTACAGGAGTCAACTCAAGAGCAAATTTCAGTGTTGATTCTGGGGTATCAAAGAGCAACCACGTGAATCCCAAGAAACTACTAAATACTAGATACAGTTGAAATCAGTAAACCAAGTTGAAGCACTGGGTCTAATATCTTTATGCTGGTTTGGTGCTAAGAATCTGAGTAATTGTGAGACTCACACAGGATTAGAACTTAGCATATGTTGAGAGATCCTACCCCTGAAGCATCAAGTACTCCAATGTTCTTGTTACTTGAGCAGAAGTCTACCCTGTCTCCAAAGATGAATCTTTTTCTCAAATTGCTATTAGACTCTGCCTATAAGTAGACAGTCACTCACTTTCTGAGTTGAGATGATTGGCTAATCCTTGCTCTCTCCATGTGATATTGCTCCTCAACTGCTTGGAAAATTCATTGGACCTGATAAAACTAGGGAAAATATTAGAAACCAGAGTGAGATTTTGATGGTAAGATGTTATTATATCCAGAGCATATGGAGATAACCAATTCCTATCCCAGATTATAGCCAGTATTGTAAACATTCCTGAAAGAGATACACATAAAAAAAATAATGGAGAGGAATGAAAAAAAGTTTCAGTTCCCATGTTTTGAATCTGTATATTGCACTAAAGAACTCTGGAAAGCTAGATTGCACTTATGTTTTAAAGCTGAAGGCGTAAAAGGTCTCTCCCCATAACTAATTCCGAACTCTAATCTTACAGTTTTAGAAATACAGGTAAGTATTGGCAAATACATGGGACCTATTTTAAATAATTTAAGCTTTGCAAACTAAGTCTCTGTGCAACTACATAACTCTGCTGTTGTAATATGAAAGAAGCTATGAACAATACATATTCCAATAAAACTTTATTTATGTAAGTAGAATCTGGCAATTGTGCTCTAGTTTGCCAATGCCTGAACTATAGGAGGTGAGTGGAAAAGGTTAGAGAGGCACGCAGGTATCAGAGCAGATAGAAACTAGGTCACAATACATCAGCTATCTCTTGCTATACAACAAACCACCCAACTCTCCTTGCCTTAAATCAACAACAACTATTTATTTTCCCATAATTTTGAAAATTTAACAGTGCTTAGCAAACAAGCATGAGGTAATTTCTGTCCCATTTTGTAGATCAAAGCAAGTCACAGGATAGTCCAGATTCCCTGCCTACACCATACACCGTTCACCAGGGTGGTTCAACTGGACCTGGAGAGTGAAAATGGCATCACACTCACTCTTGGTGGCTAGGTGCAGAAGGATGTAGGGGACAGGACTAGCAGATCTTCCCTGTCTCTCCCTTCACAGTCTGTTTTCCACCAACACTCTGTCTCTCCTTGTGGTCTTTCTGTGCAGTGAGGGAGTTGGACTTCTTTGATAGCAGGCTTTTCATGGCACAGAGTCGTCCAATGCCCAAGCATGAGGTAATTTCTGTCCCATTTTATAGATCAAAGCAAGTCACAGAATAGTTCAGATTCAAGAACAAGGATAATACATGCTACTGTTTGGGGAAAGAATGTTTGGGCAATCTTATTTGTAGCCCATTTTCCTCACACAATAAGTAGTTGAGATTTTTTTCCTTAAATAAAATAGAAAGTCATTTTATCTAACAAGGAAATTACATGTTCTGATTTCAGTTTTGGAAATATATATATATATATATATATATATATATATGGAAAGAGAAATGTCTCAGTTATATCTTCTTGTAGTTATCTTTCTGCTACACCTGGGAAAGCTTGGTGGTAAAATGGACAGGAACTTATGAGAACACAAAGGCTAATAAAGACATAAGGAGTCTCAAAGAATGAGGGCTAAAATTCACCTGAGAGAGGCTCAGCTCTTCCTGATGTTTTGACAAGCCTCAGTAATTCAAAATGGCTTCATGCTCATGCCCAGTGGCTTAGTGGAGGTGTATGGAGGAGCCAGGGCTAGCCTGGCTTCTCTGTCTCATGCATGCTCAGTTCTATCCTGCAATTATGAGTTTACAATAATTATGGCTAGTTACCTCACAGCCTTGCTAATGTAATCCCAAGGTGAATAAATTTGGAATGAAATAGTAGCCATTTGACTTGAAACCATCCTAACAATTAGGAAAACTGAAAGCTCACATCCTACTGGCAGCAGATTATTAAGAACAAAATTATTTTCATAAGTTTAGTAAGTTCTTAAATTAGCAATTTATCACTAACATTTTCCATAAAAGGTATATCCAAAACCAAAATGTTAATTTTAATGCTTATAAAATCCCCATAAATGCAAAAATCAGTTACATACAGTATTCACTCTTGGTTATCATTTTTGTTTTCTTTTTGGTTGTTATTTTCTTTTGTTTGAAACAGAGTCTCACTATTTATCCAGGTTGGCCTTGAACTCCTGGTCTCAAGTAATCCTTCCACCTCAGCCAAGGAGCTGGCAGGTGTGTCTTCAATTATTGTCTATATAAACTTTGTATTTAGTCACTCATTGATTTTTATATAGTCATTTTTATTTCATTATTATTATTATTAGTGGTAGTAGTAGTAGTAATACTGGGAATTGAACCCAAAGGCTCTTTATTACTGAACCATATCCCTACTCCTCTTTTATTTTTTTATTCTGAGACAGGGCCTCACTAAGTTGCTGAGGCTGGCTTTGAACTAGTGATTCTCCTGCCTCAGCCTGCCGAGTCACTAAGATTGCAGGCATATGCCAACCAGCTATATATTTTATTTTTAAGTAGTTTTCTAATTATTGATATTGCATTATACACTAAAGACTCTACATATTCATTTATTGTATTCCTCTGCTGGAGGCCTATCAATTTAGCATCAGTTCACTTTAACAGTAAAGAATTAACTTTATTTATTTATTTTCTTATTTATGTGTTTTTAAACAAAAAAACCCACATGTCTCAGGGGAAATTTAGAGTGAACGATAAAGAGAGTTAGTCTCAGTAGTAGGTGTGTTTTCTAAAACAAAAATCAAAAGCATCAGGCATGGAATCATTACAACAGTCATTAACGATAATGGAAATCGGTGGCCTTATTTCTCTGTTACTGAGAATAAGGCAAAGAAATGCACTTTAAGAGCGTGCTTTGAGAATATTCTGAAAGTTAAAACTAGTAATCAGCTATTTTTCCCTAGGTATTTGAAGTAATAATACAATTTCTTTCCTGTCATAGTATCAGGAGAATAGAATAAATGTGTTTCAAGCATCACCTGAAAGAGGAAATAGGAACAATTTAAAAGCATTCTCATTAAATTTAACATGATTTCATTGTCCTTCAGCAAAACACATTTCCTTTCAGGGTGCTCTATTTCACTACCCTCTTGAAACTAGTTTGAAGAGGGAGACATGAACCGCTTGAATAATTTTCTGCCAACCATCTACTATTTTCTTACCATTGCCTTTCAGTTTATTCCATAAAAATAGATTAGATATTACCTAAAATGTCGAGTTACAGATATTATGTTTATGAATTCAAACACAATCAGCAATGAAGAACTTTTAAGACCCCTGTCGAACTTTCTTGTACAAGAAAGGATATTTTTGTAATCTGAATAAGTGGCACTTGATGTACTTGCCTTGGCCTTGGAGCAAGAGAGGACCACAGTCTTTGGTAACAGAAACTGATTAAGGTCTACTGGGGAGAAAGCAGTGACAATAAAAGAGAAAAGGAGATGGCCAAAGGAGTACATGGATTGGGGACGGCCTGCAATGTGTGAGAGAGTTTGTTACAGACCTTTGGGTCCTAGTACACCCTGAGGACCTGCATATTCCCTCAAAGCGGGCTCTTAGCACAAACCAATGGAGTTATTTTTGCTGTCACAAATAGCATCCCTTCGGTGTCCAGGTTCAAGATTTTTTTTAATCTGCTCCGAGAGAAACAAGATTTTTAATCAATGGGAAAAATTTCTTCGGTAAGGAAGAATTTTGGCATGGATTGTTGGAAAATTTTGGTTTAATGAGGACATCACATAATGAAGTACCACTGTGGCCCTCAGAGGCCCTGAAACCCATTAGCGTCGCAGACAACTGCAGGCATGCCCAGCAGAAACCAGCTTTGCCCCCAATGGCAGTGAGAGGTTGGCCACCAGAGGCAGTGAGGAATCAGTCTCTTTGTCCAACCTCCATGGAGCAGATGGGAAAGAAGATGGTGTCTGAAGTGAGTAAGGTTGTTCATCAATATATCCAGAACACAAATTGTGCATTTATCAAAATAAAAGAAAAAAATATATATATATACACTAGTTAAATGTGTATCAGAGGGAAATTATGTTTTTCTAGTCATATGGTAGCCACTTCTCCCTTAACTAATAGCAGCATGGTTTCCTTTAAGTAGTTCCTCTTGCCTCATTGTGTGCTATCATGTTTACATGATAAATAAGAGTGCCCTCCCACTATGAAGACCAAGGAGAACCCCAGGGACTTTGGTAGATCAGACCTCTTCCTGCTTATCAAAGGGTACAATGTAAAAATACAAAGTAAGCAATAGTAATTGGCATCTCTACCCAGCTACTTTGATATTTGAACACAGTGAATCAAGATATGGAGAAATACAGGGAGTTGATTCCTCTGTGAAGATATTAGAACTCTGGTATTAAATGGTTTATATTTTAAGTTTACCATTACTAGTTCCTATCATTTCTGTTCAATACTCTGCTTTGCATTTATCCTGTGAATTTTGGGGTATCTACCAATAAATTCACTTTAAGAGAGATAATTTCTATTTGTAATAAAAGCACATGAATGAAATTATCAATATGTTATGTATAATAATGGTTATAATCGACACCTCTTTAGAAAACCAGTGTAATACTTAATGTCTTTCTTTGTACAATATGGCATTATTAAAAATTAAATTTTAGAGAAAACATTCACCCTTTGGTTTTTGGGGATTGGCTTATTTCACTTAGCTCCATGATATTCTCCAGCTCCATCCATTTACCTGCAAATGCCATAATTTTATTCTTTTCTAAGGCTGAGTAATATTTCATGTGAATATATGCCACATTTTCTTTATCCATTCATCTATTGAAGGGCACCTAGGTCGGTTCCATAGTTTAGCTATTATGAGTTGATCTGCTATAAACATTGATGTGGCTGCATCACTGTAATATGCTGATTTTAAGTCCTTTGGGTATATACCAAGGAATGGGATAGCTGGGTCAAATGGTGGTTCCATTCCCAATTTTCTGAGTAATTTCCATACCACTTTCCATAATGGTTACATCAGTTTTCAGTCCCACCAGCAATGTATGAGTGTGCCTTTTCCCCCCACAACCTTGCCAACATTTAATGTTGCTTGTAGTCTTGATAACTGATATTCTATGGGTGTTAACTCACAATAACAGTGAAAGGGGCAGTATTAGGGAAGAATACAGTTACTTTAGATTAGGTAGAGGATGGTGAAGGGAGGATAGGGGGTATGGGGTATAAAGAATA